TTAGTACCAAGACACTGGTAGGACGTCGCGTACGGTCCGACCGACGGACGGTGTACGGTACGTAGCGACGATAGAGAGACGAGAGAGAGAGAGAGAGGTGTATGTGTGTGTGTGTGTGTGTGTGTGTGTGTGTGTGTGCGTGTGTGCGTGTGTGCGCGCGCGTGCGTGGGTGCGTTAGTGCGGCCGCTATACCGCAGATTTTCGGTCGCAGCTATGAATCTTGTAAAATAAATCGTATCTTCGCCTCCCTCCTGCTGAAGCATATACGCGGTTTGCGGTTAACAAGTGGCTTAATCACTGTACACTGAATTTCAACGTGTGGCGAAGCGCAGCTGTGGCTTTTATGGTCGATGAACGTGCCCCCATCACCCCCATGAATGTCATTTTCAATATATTTAACACGAGTATGACTTCCGTATATCGCGTTGGTGTTAATTATGGCGTAGGCGGAGCTAAATAAATCCACCACCACAGAGCGTAGGCCTAATTTACGTAAATTAGGCGTAATCAGTAATCAGGCGTAACCAATACGTTTAATTGAGTTTTAGTGCAGTGTGAGCGCCAGGAACGGCTGTATTTACAGTGCTGCGCTGCTGTATGTGTTTCTATGTACGCAGCTTTACGTTATCGATAAATCGATTAAGGAAGTGATTTGTCCGGATGATCAATATTATTCAATCGATAACTAATCTAAACATGCTCTCACCTTGTAGTCAGCTATAAACGTAGATTAGGCGCACCGTTGCGTGCGCTATTATGGAGGCGAAACCATGACGTGTGTATCATAATTAATAATACATACGAATAGGGTCGCAGGCGAATTTATATAGCTTCGTCATCGCGGCATACCCCGATATTTAACGACGTAATAACTTGCACCACGTCCGGGCAGATGATTAAGCTCGTTAATGTACGATGCTAACAAATCGGGTGCTATAATTACACCCACATCTCACCGCATTCGAACGGTATCCACCCCACCGCGGCCATCCACGCCATCACGTGGTATACTCGCGAGCCCTCACCTCGTTCTCCCTAGCCGCGGCCATGTTCTTGTTCAATGGGTTATTAGGCTCATGAGTGCAGTGCCATATAGGAATATAAACATGTTCAGTAACACGATCGGCAAATTGCGTGTCGCCAAACAAGCCCAAGTATAACAGTGAATCGATTGAACATTACCCCTGTACGACGTCAGATAATGCAACAACACCAAGATTATCCAAAAGGAAGCAAATGGTTTCTACCTATATACCGTGATATACCAGAATCATGTAATTTGATAAATAAAGGTTGTTCGCTACGTTTCGATTCTTCGATTCCCCATAAAACTCGTTCTTATAGAAAACGTGTATGATAATAATCAGATAGTACATGTAGTTTGTTTAATGAAGGGAGTAGTTATAAAATAAATCAAGAGAAAGGAGCACGCGAACGACAACCAATCGTTTTTTTTCGCAATACGATTTCAAAGCATGCCGTCACGTTTCTTCCGAATGTGTTGACCACACTACGCAGTGTGCAAGTATAAAGTGTACAGTTTCGATGACTGACAATATCTGAGAATTCCGCATTATAATTTCAGAACGCGGAAGCCAGCTACGACTTTAGCAGCAACGATCCTTATCCGTATCCCCGCTACACCGATGATTGGTTCAACAGGTACGAGAGCCATAGAGGCTCAGTGCTTTATAGCGCATAGACATATTTTGCGACATGCTATACTCTTACAGCCCGACCAATTACACGCGAATTACCTACTGAGTATGATGACGGTAAGCACTGATAAAGTTTAACGTGAAATAATGATGTGAAATACGATTATAGCCGTATAAACATTACACACGCATGCGTGCCCTTAATAATTTGTTACAAGAAATGTAAAGAGTATAATATTATACCCTTTGACATTTCTGAAAAGCTCGTTTGTGCGCTGTGTGGGCGCGTGTGCGCTGTGTGGGCGCGTGTGCGTGTGAGCTTCGTCATCGCTACTCGCATACATATTGCATTTGTCTGTTCATATGTTGACACAGTCATGGGACGAGATGCGCTGGAGAGGTGTCGGGAGCTAGAGATAACGGCGTCTGCGGTGTCGGCGTTGCCTACGACTCCAAGGTGGCTGGCATTCGCATGCTCGACCAGCCCTACATGACTGACCTGATAGAGGCTAACTCGATGGGCCACGAGCCGAATCTCATCGACATCTACAGCGCCTCCTGGGGGCCGACCGACGATGGCAAGACCGTCGACGGACCCCGAAACGCGACGATGAGGGCCATCGTGAAAGGCGTGAACGAGGTGAGAGAGTTCTCTCTCCCTTCTCTCTCTCTCTCTCTCTCTCTCTCTCTCTCTCTCTCTCTCTCTCTCTCTCTCTC